ACAGTAGCCAAAAGCTTTCAATCGAAGTTTTGTGACATAGAAGCTTCATTTATGCAGCAACCACTGCAGGTTTTTACCAGAAAACAAACTCAAAAACTTCTCTATTTTTAGTTGTTGGTAATACTTTTACCTCTTTATGTGTGTATTTGTGTTTTTATCTGTTACTAAAATGTTTCATTARCCACTTTATAGATTTTAATGAAGCTTGCAGAATCATTTACAACTGATTTAACTTTTAGAATCAACCTGATTCACGAGAGCTGCTACAGCCAATTCAGTTAGTTTGTCAGATATTCAACTCAAATTTGATGTGGCAGTAGCTGAGTCATTCCCATTATATAATCTGAGTGGGACATCTCATTTCACTGGAGGTTGTGAATGACATTTTTTTCAGGATTTAATGGAAACCACTTAAACTTAATTTCTCAACATAAGAATTTTAGGCTTTTTTTCTAATTTCAGTTAATCTAGATTACAAAAATAAACTAGGGAATGCTTAATGCTGAAAGATTTTAGCAGAAAAAAATGAAAGACATACGAAAATTTAGCAATTTGTTATAAAATAGCCAAAAAAAAGGTGAAAGTAGCAAAAAAAAAAGGGTAGGTGAAAAAAATCAGAATCAAGCATCACAAAGTAACAGAAAGAGCATGTTTGTTAATTGAGCAATAAATAGCTGAAATTATTACAAAATGGTAAATGGACTGAACTTCTATAGTGCTTTATCAAGCCCCTCCAAAGCTTTTTACACTACAGTCATTCACCCATTCACACACGCATTTACACATTGATGGTGGTAAACTCAAAAAGGTGAATTTGAGCTAAGTTAAAGCTAAGATTAGCTAAAATTAGCTTAAAAGTAGCTTGAATTACAGAAAACAGCTGAAAGAAGCATGAAAAGCTTAAATTAGGTGAAAGAAACTAATAGTGCAAAAAAACAATTAGCAGCATAGCTGCAAAGAGCTACAGAGCTAACTGATAAAGCAAAGAAAAGCTGCAGTTAGTAAAACAAGAACCTGGAGAAAGCTAAAATTAGCACTAAGAAGTAAAAAAAAAAAGCAGAACAAAAAGAAAAAGTTTAAAATACAGGAAAAGTTTCACTGTTTTAAAGTGTTTTAAGGATGTTGAAGACAGCTCCATTCATTTTTAATGAGAACAAAATGTCAGAAAAAGCTCAAAAAGTTTAAATTACAGAAATACCAAAAGTCATAGCCGAAATATCCCGAAGGAGCTGAAAGTTTTGCATGACTTGTTAAAATGTTACATAAATTGCAGAGCGAGACACGTGCAAGAGTTGGTTTTATGTAAATGTATTTTAAAAGGGCCAATATTATGTGTTTCTCAGGCATACATTTAAATACTATACCATAATAAAGTATCTATGTCACCTTTAGTTGTTATTAAAATGCTGTTTTTATGTTTAAACAGAAAATAAACTTATCTTCTCATCACTTCCTCTTCTAAACTCGTTGAAATTGGCCTCTGTCTCTTTAAGAACCACCTTCCACTTCTGTCCCGTCCCGTTTGGTGCGGGGGGTTCGTGCATGTGCTATGATGCAGTTTACTTGGCATCTTAACATACATTTCCTCAAAGGTATTTTGAATCTGAAAAGAGCTTCACTGAGTGAGAACTAATGTTAAGAGCAGCAGACAGTTTAAGTTTCACTTTCACCAGCTGTTTGCTTTGTTCTGCTGAGAGCCTGCAGGAGTCATGGGCGGGGTGGGGAGGTGTGCTCCGTGATGAGGAAGCTCAGATTGGAGACACATCCCAGAGGAGTTTGTCCCAAAAGGACACAACCCAGGGTCCCCACCTGTCGTTTTGCTCCTCAGCATGGCTGCCTAAAAAGGCTGCATGATTTCTCAAACATGCATGAATGAGTCAAAGCAAGGCATTGGGC